GCCCGCGGGCGGGTCGAAATGTGTCGCCCAGTTGGGGTTGCGGTTGCGCGCCCGCGGGCGCTTTGAAATGCGTCGCCCAGTTGCGGTTGCGCGCCCGCGGGCGGATCGAAACGTGTCGCCCGATTGTGGTTGCGGTTGCACGCCCGCCGGCGGGTCGAAATGCGCCGCCCAGATGCAGTTGCGGTTGCGCGCCCGCGGGCTGGCTTGAAATGCGTCGCCCAGGTGCGGTTGCGGTTGCGCGCCCGCGGGCGGGTCGAAATGTGTCGCCCAGTTGCGGTTGCGGTTCCGCGTCCGCGGGCGGGTTGAGATGTGTCGCCCAGGTGCGGTTGCGGTTGCGCGCCCACGGGCGGGTTGAAATGTGTCGCCCGGTTGCGGTTGCTGTTGCGCGCCCGCGGACGAGTCGAAATGCGTTGCCCAGGTGCGGTTGCGCGCCCGCGGGCGGGTCGAAATGTGTCGCCCAGTTGCGGTTGCGGTTGCGCGCCCGCGGGCGGGTTGAGATGGGTCGCCCAGGTGCGGTTGCGGTTGCACGCCCACGGGCGGGTTGAAATGTGTCGCCCGGTTGCGGTTGCTGTTGCGCGCCCGCGGACGAGTCGAAATGCGTTGCCCAGGTGCGGTTGCGCGCCCGCGGGCGGTTTGAAATGTGTTGTTCAAGGCGCTCTTTGACGTTCAGTCAGTCAATCAGTCAGTCACCAGCGGGCACGGAATTTCACCCAGCTCCGCCGGAAAAAAAAAACGGGGACGATGTTTTGATTAATTTTTGTCATGTTTGACCATGTTCGGGTAGTTTCAAATTTTCATCCAAAGTCCCCCTGTAGGAAGCACGCACGACTTAAGAAGTCTAGCCGACGCTGGGGTATCGGGCGCCCCCGCTGGGGTTCATGTGGCTGCCGGCGATGTCCGGGCGATTTTTGGCTGGCTGTTCTTGGCCACTCCTCCATTGGAAGCATCTGGGGGGGTAGGCTCAGAGGGGGGAGTTTGCAACCCCCGAAGCGTTGGGAAAGTTGTCGGGGCCCTGCGCCTCGTCGAGGGCGTTCTGGGAACCAGGCGACGAGGATCATTGCGGGGGGGAAGGGCTCAGGAGGGGCGATGTCGACACCCCGTCGCCCACCGATCGCCGATACAACCAAGACGCTGCAATCAGGACCGCTTTGGGTTCGGAAGGGGCTCGCAGTTCCTTAGGTCATTCCTTCGTTGTTCATGTGGCCCTCCTCGCGCATCCAGGCTCTTCTTGTGCTAGAAAGAGGTTTCGTTCTTTATCCAGCGCCTCTTGTGACAGCCGCCCGACTGTAGGGGCCCGAGACGTAGCACCCGCCGCCCAGGAGCGTGCGGGCTCTCTGTCGGGCGCTTGCCGCCGATCTATCGGCGACGCGTCGCCGATTCCACCTCGATGACCCCCCCCTGAGCCAGTCCACCCCCGCCGTTGACCCTCGTCGGGGCGGGTTTGTGGACGTTTCTGGCCGCCTCTGGGCCTCCTCGTGGTCGTCACGCCCAGGTCTGCCCCCGGCCTTGGTCATAGCGCGTCCTGCAGGAGGGGTGCGGGGATCTGTTTGTTGAGGGGTCCAGGTCCCAGGCATCAAAGGAACCGACAGGAATCAATCCAGCGCCGTCGCTTGAGGCTGCCGCCGTCGTTCGGCGGCTTCGGCGGCGGGCCTCGAGATTAACGCTTCGTGCGTTTCCTGAGGTTCCCGGAGGATTTTTTCTGCCTTGGGGTGCGTGCAGGCAGCTGCGCCTCGCTGAGCGGCGGCCCAGACTCTCTTGACCCCACCCTATCTTTTCCACATCTCTCCAGAGCCTCAAGCACTTCCGGGTTCGATATGTGACCCCCACCCCCAGGCCTGCACATTTTGGAATGGATGTCATGATGGTGCAGGTTGCTTGTTTCGGGCCGGACGAAAGGGGGGGATTGGGAAAGGGGGGGTTACGAAATTTGCTGCATGCAGCTGATTTCGGCCTCGCCGAGGGGCCCATTCCTCGACACATGGGCGCCTCCGGCGCTGGGAGGCGCCGGGAAAATCAGCTACGTGAGCTGATTCTCAACCCCCCCTTTGCTATCCCCCCCTTTCGCCCGACCCGATTGTTGGTGTTTTTGTGCCTTTTGCAGAGCGGCGTGCGCTTTTGACCCCCCGCGCGCGTCGCATGACAGAGTGCAGCGCGACGAGCGATGGCCCTCGGAGTGCACGGGCGCCCCGGGTTGAGCAGTCCGCGTCGGACCTCCAGCGGCCGCGCCGACTTCTCGCAGGCCTAGAGGTTGACACCGACACCAAGATCAGCGGTGTGCCTCCACCGAGGGAAGACGATCCCGATCTCGGTGATGGTGGTAATATTCTGGCTTCCAAGGTGACCGAAATGTTACCACCAACACCGAAATCTAGGATCATCTTCCCCCCGTGGAGGAAAACCCCCTGTGTTGGTGTTGGTGCTCATTTCCAGGCCTCCACACTTCGAACTTCTCCCTTCGCGGGTGAGGTCTGTTTGCAGGTGGGGGGCATAATCTGCCCCTTTCCGCTGCACGTGTCTACCCCACTCCCGCGTGGCCACAGTCACTCGATCGGGGTGGCGGGCATCTTGGGAGAACCTTTCCAGGCGTGCCCGCAGACCCTCAACAAGTACAGTCGGGGCCCTGAAGAAGGAACCCTTTTCGTTGGGGAGGGGCTCCGTGTTCCTTCATTGTTTTGCAGCTTGCCTCAGGTGTTCCTTATGTTTTCGATCGGAAATCGAAGTTTAACTTACGGGAAAAAGGGGCCTCGTTCCTTATTTATCGTTCCTTCGGTCAATGCCCCGACTGTAGCCGGGGATGGCGAGCGAGGAAGGGCGCGGGTGGGCGGGAGGAAGGCGCGGGGGGTCGTCGGGCTCCAGGAGCCCCTTGGGGTTCCCGTGCTGATGACAACTTCGGGCTCCGAGGCAAGGATCCAATAGTTGTTGTTTCTGTAGCCCCAGTGGGGGGGGGAGTATAGCTATCTCACCCTCAGCACTGGCGGTGGAAACTACCTCCCAAATGCGTGACAACGCATTGGAGGAGGCCGGAACCTCCTCGCTCCTCCTCTCTCTTGCTCCATCTCTTTTCTCGTGGCACCAGTCGTCCCCGGCGTCGGTAGGGCTTTCCTGGCGTCGGTTGAGACCCACATATATTCGAAACATACAGCTCGAATTTGCCAGAAGTGCAACGGAAGGATGGTGGGCGCACATCAAAGTCGTATTACCGCCGTGGGTTCCTGAAATTGTTGTTTTGGGAGTGTTCAGCGCCAAACAATTGCACGGATGGAGGACGCACGTTTTGCAAGATCGAGCTCTCGCTGCGGATGTCGAGTCACATGTCTATGATTCTGAAGTCATAAAGTTCGACTAGCCATGCAGAGATTGGCGGCTGGCTTCCAAACTATGTTTCTCGCTGAGTTTCTAGCACCTCTGGATCCAGGGGTTATCCGCATGGGGGGGACGGGTGGATTTCAAGCATTGGTTCTCGCGGTCTCGCTATGGGGCTTTTCCACATTCCATTGCTTTGGTGCGTTATATGTTGAACCGTTGGACGGATGGATGGTGGTGCCTTCTCACGATCGAGCCGCCAGGAGCGGCACCTGGACTTGCCGCACCACTCCTGGAGCGTGAGGATCGGCCCCTCCCGCCCTGCGCCGCCCTTCCTCCGGCCAGAGGAGAGAGAAAGAGCAAGAACGAGGGAGGAGAGAGCGAAGGAACGAGGAGAGAGCGGGATTCGGTCGCTCGAAGACCGAAGCAGCTGCGCACACGTAAACTTTCAGAGCTCCGCGTGGATGTCGTGGATCGGCGGTGGGCCCTCCTGGCGGCGCCTCCGGCGCCGCCCCCCGGCGCGTTCCGCGCGCCAGGAAGGGGTGTCCAGCGCCGATCCGAGAAACCCGCGCGGACCTCCCCAAGCAGATGTTTCTGCATTTGTTGCTTCTTCCAGTCGCGGGTGGTCTCCTTCACCAGCCAATGTGCGGTGTTCGATCCTTGGGTGGACCGGGGCGGAGGACGGAGGAGTGAAGAGGACGGAGCAGGAAGAGGATGCGAGGGAGGAAGAGGGCGGGGGGAAACGGACAGAGGTGGAGGGAGACGAGGTAGGCAGAGGCTAGACAGGGAGGACTAGGGATGATGAGGTGGAGGAGGAGGATGAGGAGGAGGAGGAGGAGGAAGAGGACGAGGAGGAGGAGGAGGAGGAGAAAGTCAGTAGGAGGATGCGGCCATGGCTGAGTCGTTAGGACGTGTAAATCTGCTGTGCGTTGCGTGCGTGTGCGCTTCCCTTCAACTCCCCTGTGCCCTCCACCTGTGCCCTCGACCCTGTGACACCCACCCCACCTCACCCCACCCCACCCCAACAGCATGCGGCACGGCGCCAGGCTTCCCTGTTCCAGCCTCACGGCCACCCGCTTGGCAGGAGGAGGCGAGGGAGGTGGATCGCAGAAGGAGGGAGACGTGGTCAAGGAATGAGGGCGGGTGGGATGAGGGGGTTGCTGGCGGACACCGCGGAGGCCCCCCCGCATCAGACCAGGAAGACAGGGCCGCCTGCGATCCTTTCCGATGCGAGTCGATTCGCCGATTGGGGCCGCGATTCCGATCCGATTCGAGTCAGACCAGTTCAACAGCACCGGCCGGCGCCATCCAGAGTTGGACGTGGCGATCCGATTTTGCTTCGATTCTGGACGATTCGTTGGCGATCCGATCCGTTTCTGATCTGATTCGATTCCCAGGCCCCCGACGTCACGGTTTTTGTTCATCATGTCGACCCCACGTGGTCTGGACGCAATTTTTGGGACTGGCTCTTCATCCCGAGGCGTTTTTGACGGTCTGCGAGGGCCGCCAGCGGCCGAAAATAGAAAACTCTGTGCCGTCATTTTCTTTCCGCAGTGCGAGCATGTCTGGGATCCGACTCCGCGAGTCGATCGAGCTCAGGCCTGGGAAATCGTTCCTTCCCGCCGGGCTCCTTTGTGGATCGAGTGCCGGCCTGCATGCCCTTTCGCGGTCGGTAGCCTCACAACACCCGCCTGCGCATGCCGCCGCCCGTGCCGCCCGAAGTGCGGCCATGGCAGCCACACATGCAGCAGGAAGACCCGCGGAGGCTCCGCCCCGAGCTCGGCGCCTGCGTGTCTCGGCGGCCCCCGTGCTGCCGGGGGGATGCCGGGCCCCCGGAGCACTTCACGGCCGACCTCGAGGCTCGACTAGACGCAAGAGTGACCCTTCGCCGGAGTGACCTTCGGTGCGCGCTCACTGGGGTCCCCCGATCGCCGCGCTCGTTGCGATAGTAGCGTCTTGCGCGCCTGTCTCTGGCCTCCTCGCGCCCCCCCAGAAGCCGCGCACCAGAGGTCACTCTTGCCCAGAGGTCACTCTTGCGTGGAGTCGAGAGGCCTGCGAGGGCGCCTACGTGCCCTCCGTGGACTCGCTCGTGTCGCTGCCCTCCGCGCCGGGTTCCGACCTGGGCGCCCTGGCGCACTGCGAGGAGCTGCTCGCCGGGCTCCGCTCGTCGCTCCGGTTCAGGAGGGGAAAAAATACACACAGACACAACTATAGCCTTGTGCCGATGATAAAAAAGGACCCCCCCCCCCCTTTCCAGGCTAGAGTTGATTATCCACGGCCAAGAAGAGTTTGGTCAGGGGCGCGGGGCGCGGAGGCCGAACTTTTTTATCATTGTGAAAAGTTCACCATCGAGGTTAACTTCCTTCTTCTTATGTTGAGATAGCAACATCAAACGAAACGAAGACGTTGTCGAGGATGTCTCAAGCGAAACCAACAATTTTTGGAGGCAGCCTCAAGCGATCCTCGGCTTTCGGTCCTCTTATCACCATCTTTTTCTCCTCCCACATGCTGGCCTCCGGTAGGCAACATTTACAATTCTTAATCCCTGTGGGATTAATCTCCGTGGTGTTCGGTTAATCGTCGACTCCCAGGAAAATATGGGAAAATATGGGAAGTGGGGGGGGAAGACAGAAAGCCCAGTAGATATGGGTAAATATGGGGAATTGTTTGGTTGGTGTGTGTTTATGTGTGTGCCCTTGGGCCCCTTCCCAGGTCCGACCTTCGGGAGGAACTGCACCAGCTGAGGGCGGTGCACCTCCTACCCGCGATGGCCTCCCTGCACGACGCCGTGCAGCAGTCGCTCGGGGAGGCGGAGGAGCTCGGAGAGCACCAGTCGGGCCAGACGAAAGGGGGGGACTGGGGAAGGGGGGGGTACGAACTTTGCTGCATGCAGCTGGTTTCGGCCCCACCGGGGAGCCCATTCCTCGATACATAGCCGCCTCCGGCGCTGGGAGGCGCCGGGAAAATCAGCTACGTGAGCTGATTCTCAAACCCCCCCTTTGCTATCCTCCCTTTCGCCCGACCCGAACCAGCTGGCGCGCTCCAGAAAAGGCTTCGCCTGTGAGGGTCGAAGAGGTTGGCATCCCTTCCTCGGCGGAGGGCTGGCGGACGCCTTCTGAAGCAAAACAGGGCCGTTTCCGCCAGCAGAAGGCCTGCGGAAGGCGGCGGAAGGCCGCGAAGGCCAGCAGAAGGCCTGCGGAAGGGCCGAAGCGATGGCAGGATTGTTTGGTTCTGGGTTTCGAGAACTGGCCAGTTACGCACCTACGCTGCTCCTGGTCGGGCCCATCCTGGGCTCAGGATCTTCGTTTGCATACACCAGCAGGGTCCATTCCGATCCAATCGATCCGATTCGGCATCGATTCCGGTCGGCCCGATCCGAACTCGATTCCGATGCTCCCGCGATCTTGTGCGGCCCGAACGTTTGCGTCGTTGTGCATCCTGACGCGGCCGATCCGATGGGATTCCGACTCCGATTCGATGCGCGTTCCGATTCGATCTGGTTTCCCGAGTCGATGCTGACCGATCCTACACCAATCTTGGCCAGGATCGGTGTGAGGTGTACAATCCCAGACCCCTCTCGTCATGATTTGATAACGTTGACCCTGAAGGTCTCGACCTTCTCTCCAGGACCAGCTTCTCATCCCGAGCCATGTGTTGGCGGTCCCGAGACCCGGCGAGGGCCCCGGGAGGCAGACGCCAGCACAAGACCTCCGTCGTGGCTCCTCATCGCTCCAGGGGGCCCGGGGCCCGGGATCTGCCTGGCGGGTGCCGGCGTTAGTGCGGGACGGGAAAATGACCACAGCCTTTGCTTCTTGTTTGCGCCGCCTTCCAGCCGGCCGAAAAAGAAGCAGTGGTTGTGGTCATTTCCCTGGTGCCAAGCTCAACGAAAATGACCACAGCCACTGCTTTGTTTCTGCGGGCTGGAAGGCGGCAACAAAAGAAAAGCAGTGGCTGTGGTCGTTTTCACGCCCCGTAGTTCGGTGCACAGCCGGCGCCCTCCGAGGAGCGCCTGCACGCCGCGCTGGCGGGGCGCCCTTGCGGGCCGGCGCCGGGCCGGCTCGCGCCCGCGGCGGGGCCGGGCCCGCCGCAGGGCCCGCCGCAGGGCCCGCAGGGGGCCGCGGCGCCCGGGGGCGCGCGGGGCCCGCCGCGGGCAGACCAGAGGAGTCAAGAGCAGGGGCGAAGCGTCCACACCCTGCCCATATTCAGCGAGCGAAGAACGGTATCAAATAAACTTTTTCGCCGTCGGGGACACCTGCCACTGGGCGGCTGGAAAGCTTGTACCCTTACGGTGCCGCCGTAAGGGTATAAACTTTCCAGCCGCCCAGGGGCAGGTGTCCCCGACGGCGAAAAAGTTTATCTTATACCGTTCTTCGCCCGTTGATATATCGGAGGTTGACAGACCTCCTACCCTGGCACGTCGATGAAGGAATCTGCCGTTTTCGGTGCTCGAGAGGGCGCCGCGGCCGTCATTCTTGCGGGTTCAGGTCCGTCGGTTTCGGTCCCAGGCCGTTCTCACTAAAGGGAGGTTTACTAAAGGGAGGTTCGTCCACCGCCGCCTATGCTGAGGCGACCGCTGGCTAGGGGGTAGAGACGGCTTAGAAGCAACGTCTAATCTGCACGAACGAAACGGGCACGGAAAGAATGGGCACAATGCCCAACAGCGGATCTGGTTTATTTTGAACAGGACTTGCTGTCCACGCCGCCGCGGCCTGTGTCCATTCAAGACGGAGGGCCGCCTGCCAGCAGCGGCCGCTGTTGGTTTGAGACAACATGTGTTGTTGGGCATTGTACCCATTCTTTCCGTAATTACCCATTTCGGGCTTCCAAATTTGAGGTGGGCTACATTTAGCCCGATTAATCTCTGGCTTAATAAAACCTTGCTCATAAATGGGTCACACGTGCCCTAAGTGTTTTTTAGGGGCTGACGATCCGGGCCAACGGAGTTTTCGAACCCGCCTAAACCAGTTCAGGCACTTGCAACCCATATCATATGTGTATATAAACATATAAAAGTGTGTGTATGTATTTGCATATCGGCAGACATACATACATGCACGTAGCAACCCGCAGTTGCGGATCAGAACTTTAAACGGAGAAGGTTAAAGGCGAGGTATAAATCGAGCATGTACCGCTGCCGTGCCTGGCTCAAGCCGGGCCCGGCCAAATATGTGATTGTGCCTCACCGAGGCGCACGACTTGCATCTGAGATCGGAAAATACCTTTTCCATTGACGATGCCCATCCTATCCTTTACTCCAGATCCCATGCTTCGTCTTGCTCTCTTGCTCATGCGATATGAGCCAAAGCCTGGGATATGGCAACGCTTAAAGCGTAACACATACCTAAGCTTACCAGCTTGTTTTCGACTTGGTAGCGGAGCTGGCTACACTCTCGTGTGGCTGGCTCTCGCTCTGATTCCTGTAATCCACGGCACAACTTGGTGGACTACTACTACGGTGGAATACCATGTTGCGCCGGCTCTGCGAGGAGCGGAGCCAGTCCGCGATCGAGCTAGCGGGGCAACCCGCGAACTCGAGACGCTCTCTCCTACTTCACTGCGCCACTTCACTCCCGACTTCCACCAGATGCCAATCGGCAACTCGATCGAGAACGTGGTCACCCTGCGGGGCTACCCGCAGCGGGGCCACCTGCATCCCGTGCCAGTCAGGCGCCTCACGGCTACTACGCCAGAGCCTGACAAACCACAGCCTAAACCAATCACCGAAGCCGAAATGCACATGCACTGGATTAAGATAACTATCTTCGGCATTCTGTGGGTAATAATGGGATGTGCTGTGGGATACATGCGGCAGGGGATGGACGACACGCGTACTACCGGCCCTTCGTGGGACCCTGCCGGTACTACGCCTTTTCGCGAATATGTTCGCGAAGTACATGCATGGTTAAACGTAACGAGCGGCAATATGACACCACCACAACAAGCTGCAGCACTACAACGAGGCCTTCAAGGTCTTGCTCGTCGTATCGCCATGCAGGTCCCCTCCCAGATCATCAATTATGGTGTAACTGTCAATGGACAGCCAACGGATGCAGTAACATATATACTGTACTTACTGAGCACCAAATTTGAAAATCTGGAAGATGAGCGCCAGCTCAACTCTGGCACTGCCCTTATCGACTTTCGCGTCGAAAGGGGCGAGCGAATCGACTCAGTGTTAGCTCGATTCGAGATGGCCCGTGACGAGGCTAACTCTGTTGGCTTTGTCATCCCCAACTTTCAGATCCTAACGCTGATTCTCTTCAGAGCGTTAGGCGTTGGCGCGTCACGAGCCCAACACCTGCTGGAGCCCTTTAATCATCAGATGCCCCGAACACAAGCAGACTATGACAGGCTGCTGACCAGGATGAGGAACTACGGACATGTTGCCGAGCGCTCTCCTGGCAACATTGCGGGTATCTTCACAGGGCACCACTCACATGCAGGTGTCTACGCCACGACTGCGGGGTCACCCGCTGGTCCTGGCGAGCCAAATCCCTGGGCTGACCCAGCCGATATGCCCAACGAGGCCACTGCCTTCTTAGGGCAGACCGGCCAGGCATCGGCAGAGGCAGCTGAGGCGAACGCCTGGTCGAACTACTCGCCAGGCGCCGCCTACACTGCAAGCCCGCCCTCGGGCACAACCCTCTGGGGCCAAGCGGAGTCATCCGCTCAATGGTCTCAGCCACCCTCACCGTTTGAATCTGGCACTGACACAGATACCTCATCTGACGATGAGCACAATGGCATAGTCTCTGCTGGTAATGACTATCCAGCGGATGACACTCACCTTTCTGAACAACAAAGAGCGGAAGCCGCTTTTATGGCTTATCGCAAATCAAAACGCCGTTGGAGGCGCTTTATGAAGAAACCAGTCAGAAAAGTGAGACGTGCAGTACGCCGACATTTCAAACGATTTGGAAAGGGTCGTGGCAAAGGGGGTCGCAGACGCCGTATGCATGGTAGGGGTATTACTGCTTTCCTCACGTCCTTAACTGATATAGCCTTTGAAGAAGTTCTTATCGGAGGCAAAGGTCGGGGTCACAGGCGGACCTCCGGTAAGGGAAAAGGGCGGAGGGGCAACCCTAGGGACGCTTCTGGCAATACTATGAAGTGTCATACATGCGGTAGCACAGAGCATTTGCGCGATCAATGCCCGAAGGGGAAAGGAAAGGGATCCGTACATTTGGCTCAAAATTCTTTTATGGATGACATAGACTACATTGACTACGAGTTTTACGTCAATCCAGAAGCGGCTCCCGCTGCGGGCTCCTCCACGTACTACGTGATGGCCCGCTGCGCTGAAGTAACCGTAGCCCTGGAAGACTACGCAGTGACCCTCTTCGACGAGCTCCACGGCTGGGACGAAGTCGACGAGGTCGCGTTCAATGCTTGGTTCGGTCTTCCAGCGGGGCCACCCGCCAGCGACGAGGTCTCCGAAGCTGAGACCGTCCCGGCGACCGAGGAAGAGCTCACCGCCGCGCTGGCACCGCAGGTGATTGGCATGCCGTTGCTGCCAGATCTTTCGCGAGCTGGCTCGGAGGCGGGAGACGCTGATGACGAAATGCGGGGCCATCCCGCGTATTCTGACTCCGAAGAGGCCGAAGAGGACTATAAAGACATGCTCCAAGAGCAGGTCGCAGAAGCAATCCGGTTCCTGAGTGCGCCAGCACATCAGCAGATAACCATGAACGACCTGCTGTCGCGCCCAGGGGCTGCACGGCTGCGTCCATACCTGGATTCGGACATGTCGGCACCTCAGATGCTGACAGCACTCCAGGCTCTAGCGGGGTCACCCGCCGAAGTGACGCCAGCCGCAACAGCGGGGCCACCCGCTTGGTCTATGGATGTATTTATGCAGGGTTGTGATCAAATGGACCTCAACGACCTCACGATGGAGCAGTTAAACGACATCGGGTACTTCCGAAGCCCGTATCAACGCGTATTCATGGTCCAGGACAGCTCAGAGGACTCGGAGGACATGCGCTACGCCAAGAGGGACAGACGACCATCGCCTCCCCGAGACTCAGAGCATGACGATCAAAGGCCAATGGAACGTGGTAGTGCGTCAGCGGGGCCAGCCCGCAGGAGGAGCCGTTCAGCTCCCAGACGCCCTACACATGATGCATCGGGCTACCCGTACAGTACTGAGCACTCCGTTGGTGTATCCGCTCAGCACGTGCCGGATTGGTACATCAACTGGTACCCCGGCTACTCGATGGACGTGATCCGCCACTGGTATTCTAAGGAGTACTGCACCAAAAAGGACGAAACTGGCATGATAATGCGTACCAAGGGTGGCAAGACCAAAACGCCAGAGGCTTGGGACAAAAGGGCTAAGAAACAGGAGATCATCAACGATCGCAAGACATACAGGAAACAAGTATGTCAGTGCGAGCCCTTCAAAGGTCACATGCGCAGTTGTCCGATGGACCGCCCCTCCAGGAGTCCTCATCACGGTGAGACCCCGTGGAATTGGTCTCATGGAGATGACGCTGGCAACGTCCATGATCCTAACAAGGAGGTCCCTGGAGGAGGAAAGCGCATCACCGAAGCCGATCGCGTCCCTATGACCGAAGAGGTGGCCAACATCGTCAGGGAAAATTGGGTACAGCTTCCCAATGACCATCGCCTCAAGGAATGGAACCGCCGATTCCATAAAGAGGCGGGGTCACCCGCAGGATCCAGTAAAGAAGCGGGGTCACCCGCAGACGCGGCGCCAGCCGCTGGGTCCGCGGACGAAGATTGGATAGCTGTTGCATCTGCTGCTGGGTCCGCCGCCGGCACTGACCACACCGAACTGAATGAAGAATGGGCGGCGGAAGACGGCTCAGAGAATCCATTCCCTGATGGATGCGCCTGCTGGTACTACAGCTCTTCGGCGCAGAAGTGGTTTTGCACGAGGGTAATTCACCGCCATGAAAATGGCAAGTACAAGCTGGCCATAAAAGGTACTGCCGACATCGACCAGATGAGGCAGATCATCCATGATCATGGCCAGCCAGAAGGCCCTCCTAGAGACCCTCCTGGTCCACAACCGGGCAAGGGCAGCAGACCACCTCCAAGACCTGAAGCCGACTCCTCGTCTTCACCGACTCCTGCGAAAAGGCACCCGTCCAAGAGCCCCGAAGGCACACAGGGGCGGGCGAAGGCCAGAGGGATCG